TAAAGCACTTCTTTACAGATTTTTAATGTCTTAACTCACATTTTTTACTAGATGTGATTCGCATATGGGAGGAAGGTAGGTGAACAAGTCACATCAGACAATTCATAGTGATTAGATAAGCTAAATCCAGACAAAGGATAACATATTATGAAAGTGCGTGACATCAGTAGATCATTATTGAGCACTAGAGACACGATATTTGATTGTAAATGTATCAATGTCGAGTAATAAACGTACTACAACAACCTACCATAAAGTACACCACTTTCTGTCAGTCATTCAGTCAGCTACAACGTAGGACCAGGCACATATATGCATCGGTCCAAGTTGCTATACCTCATTAACACAACAAGATGGACACCGGATTCATATAAGTGGTTAATTCAGAGGTGGTAATATATAAAAGAAAGATTGCATATAAGGACATAGTACAGGGAGAAAGAATTAGTTCGTAGAAATAAATATATGAAGCGATTTTAATCTCATAGTTTACGAGAAGACAGAGAGTGTATACGCCGACGCCATTGTGATAGATTCTGAGCCATGTCACCCAGAGTCTCCAACCATTGGTTACGATAGTCACGCGGACCCCAACCAAGTAGTCTTCATCTACCAACATGGCTAAGGCTAGAAGTTAGTGACTTCAAGCACTGATGCCACGTTTTGGTTTGGCCGCCCCTAACCTTCTTCCAACCATCTACAACACAGGTTAGCATTGCACGTCGTGGTGATCGGTGTTCGGGCATACGTAACACGTGGCCCAACCATCTCAGTCGATGAAGATTAACAGCCTCATCAAATGATTTGCCATCATTCCCTAGTACCCTGCGTCTAACCTCACTATTACTTACCCGGTGATCCCAGCAGATGCCAGCAATATTTCTAAGGCATCTGTGGTCAAATACTAATAGCTTACGAGTGTCTCCTACTCTTAATGGCCATGTTTCGCTGCCGTAAAGTAAAACAGAACGGACTGCCGCGCAGTATACTCGTCCTATTGATAGAAGGATATTTCCCCTTCGCCAAAGGTGACGTAAGTTGACAAAAGCCAAACGAGCTTTTCGAATCCGTGCTGAGATTTCGTCAGACACCAACCCATTACGGCTGATCAGATTTCCAAGATAAGTGAAGTTGTCAACGCGTTCGACTACTTCACTCCCTATCCTTAGTTCAGGTGTTGAAGCAGACCAGTCCTGAAGCAACAACTTGCATTTAGAGAGAGAGAAGCGCATTCCAAACATCCTGGGATTGTTGCTCAGTGCTACCAAAAGACTCTGCATTTTATCAGCGTCTTCACCAAACAGGACTATGTCATCTGCGTATTCTAAGTCCATAAGTGGACCTCCTGGTAGGAGATCAATACCCGAGAATTCAGTCGACGAGAATGTTATTTCCATCAGTAGGTCTATGATGAAGTTAAACAAAAATGGAGAAAGTGGACAGCCTTGACGGACACCACTTGAGGTTGCAAAAGCAGATGACAGTTCGCCATAAGCTTTGACTCGACTAGTAGTGTTCGAGTAAAGAGCCTTTATAAGGTTTATGTACTTCTGAGGTACGCCTTTCAATGACAGACACTGCCACATAATCTCGCGGTCTAGAGTCAAATGCTGCTTTTAAGTCAAGAAAGACCACCATTGTCGGACGCCGATAAGTATGCCTATGTTCTAGAACCTGACGAATGGTGAATATGTGGTCGATGCAGCCACGATCAGGTCTGAAGCCAGCTTGGTTCTCTCGTGTTTGCAGTTCACGAGTGAACTTTCTACAGTTGCTTAACCAGCATGTTTTAAGATTAATCGGAGCAAAACTCCAATAGAAGTCGATTCTAGAGGCAAGATATTGTAGAAGTCCAAGTTAGGTAGCTAAGAGTTAACAATTATCCTAAAATACTTATTTACCTCTCCTATTTAATGACGAAATGTTAGTTTAATATCCTCCGCTTGCTACTCCTATTGTGTAACACAAAACTTGACCATAACCTTAGTCTCTTCGCAACGTTAAAGCGAGACAGGTTAGTAAAAGTCTAACAAGTCGTCATGTCACTTCCTTCTAAACCGTTGGGACGAAACTGGTTGTATTGTGACCTTCGATTTGTAAACAAAGACTAGGATTCTGGAGGTGTTCTTTCACCTCTTGAAAAAAACGAGGAAAATAAGCCAATAAGAAGTAATTAAAAAAACCCATTGTGTCATTGAATGAAAATAACGAGAGATCAGCGAGGAAAATTACCTTTTCGATTAAATTATTCACTCAGACCGAACATTGTTTTTTATAATTGTATGGTACATACATGTCCAAACAAACGTTGAGAAGATTGCATTAAAGTGCTTCAAGATTTGAATAGGAAATAAGCGAACAGTAATAGCTCGCAAAATGTGAGATAAATCAGCCCAAACAATGCAATAGGGAAAACGTTTTACAACCAAATACATCGCTATCGCTCTTATGAAGAATGTTCCTACGTTTGAATAAATTACGATATCGCCTTAAACCAGCGAACAAAACGAAATTCAGCAACATAACAAGCAACACTATTCCCGTATCCCAGCCCTGCTAACTAGAGGGAGAAGACCAGATTCAACCGAGGGAAATGTATATTTCACAAGCAATCGGAAGCACAAACCAACAAGCACATAACTCATAAGTATATATACAGCACAAATATACCCTTGGAAGACGTCACGAAATAGCGTATAAAAAGAGGAGGGGAACAAACAAAATTTAGGGTCCTTCCAAGAGGAAAATACAAATTGGGAGTAAAAATGGGTGCTTTTCGTGCAAAAACGAGAAATTCAAATTTTCAAAATAAAAGTACGAAAATAGGATGTTTATCAAGTGACTTATGAGTATCTAGCGTCACCCAAAAATGTAGAGGAAAACTACAGAATAACAATCACTGACTCATGTCTGTTTGTGTCTTAAGCCACTAAGCTACACCACATAAAGGATTCAACCGGGGAGTTATGGCGAACCATCAGTCCTACTTATCTCAAGTCGGTCCTACATGAGTTCTTTGCATCTACGTGCAAAGTGTATGTGGGCTGATTAGGTGTAACCTCCATATTTTTAGTAGCGCTACACAGTGAGACAATCCCATCCACACACCTTAGATTGAAAAGTCTCACCTGGTGACAGATCCACACAACTGCTACCTACTTACATAAGAGCTATCTCCAGATTGACGTTCGAATTGGAGTAATGAGATTAAACAATCGTCTCCAAACTCATTGCTCGAATGGAACAGTGGAGAAAGTGGCTTCTATTTTCTCACCCTAACTGAAGTTTTTTATGCAGAACCTTCAAGATTTTAACAAAATTCAAAAGCATAGCTTTCTCCAAAAGACAACAGGTAACAGTTCGGTTCAACAGATCGTAGACGACCTTGATATCAAGAAACAAAGGATGTAATAAATGCAACGGCACTCTAGCACTTGACAGAGAGTGGAGGTACGAATAATACATTGATATACTGAAAGAGATCAAGCTTGCTGCTAGGGAGTTAACTTTTTATGGGTTTCGAGCAATCCACGAATTATGACGGAAATCAATAGTATAGACAAAATTAAAAACAAAGTGATCACGCGATAGCTGTTACACAGGTGGCGAAGCCTCATCTTAAAGATGTGGATGATGATCACATCGTTTCAGAACGTTAGGACACTGTCTCGCATCTTTTCAAACCCAGTTGTTTCTCTGACCAGAAGTTCTCCACCCACTTTAAAATGAGCTGTCGGCAGTTCATCTGGACCTAGCACCCTGTGGCACTTCCAAAGATGGGGTTTCCCGCCGACTTCTGTCTCGTTAGATGAATCCATTGTCGTGAGTCGTGGAGGACAGTGCAGTTTGATGGATGTTGCCGGAGAAGTAAACAGGCTGAAATGTTCCTCGAAGAACTGTCCCCAGCATCTAAGTTGTCGTTTAATATTAATGATCGGCGCCCCATCAACTTCACACCGGACTTCTCAGTGCTAGTAGCTTGGATGAAATGAAACGGATGCTGGAAGTTGCAAGATGTAGCTGCTGCTTTCAACTCGTTAGCACGGTTTGACCGCCGTATTTCTGTCCTTAGGTTAACTTTGGATAACAAAAAGGACTAGTGATTATATAAACACAATATAAACCATTAAGAGAATCAAAGCACAGACATTATCATTTAACAAAGTAACCTCCCTGAACCTAATGTCTATTAACATTCCAAAAGATAGATAACTTGGAATAAAAAACTGTCAAAGTATGTGCATTAATAAACACAGATTAGAATGTATCCCCTGATACTAGATAACCGTCAATTCCATTCATTACAAACAACGAATGACCATTGCAATGGCTAAATGTCAGGAAATTTTAACTAAGAAAAATTTGGTCTGTTCCTCAATGTGAGCGACCAGTGACCCTAATACCAGAAAACATTCGAAGCAATGGGAATATGAAGTTTTTCGTTCAGAAAGTTAGACCTATCTACTAGGATTCATATCTCTAGAAATACATTCTCCTGTGTTAGAAATTTTAGTCATAATATGAGTTGGTCAACAGACTTCACCAAGTGAGTTTTATTGTACACGCACTGAGATGCTTAGTCTATCGACAACTGATGAGGAGTTTATATAAGTACTGTTTCATTATTTTTGGGAACGCACAGACCATTTTGCACTTTACATAATGACAAAACAATCTCACACTAACTTACACAGAGTACGTCGGTGCGCTGATTTACAAGCTGCTTTGAAGTCAACAGATGTGTCCCGAATATTATCCAACAAAAGTATTGTTATATCAGTTGTAAACTGCATTAATATACTTTAAAGTACGGTCACATAGAAAAAGGTTGAGTTAACTTTAACTTTATGCTGTTTCAATCTTATCAAGTGATACATTTAATAGGCTTGAATATGCGATGTCTCAAATACATAGTATGTAATTAATAAAAAGCTTTAACATTTGAACCCCACTGAGCAGACTATTACGATCTCAACAAAGATGACCAAAGAAGTAAATATTAAAAAGCTGTGTGTTGACAAACTGCAGATAAAATCACTGGTATATTTTCCTATAGAAAAGTACTCTGAATATCTGTTTCTTAAAACAGAGGAGAAATCTAGTATATGGGAAAAAGTATTGTGCAGAAACTGTACTCAACTGGTCGAACACTTCCGATACATCAGTTATCATACATGAGCGTATGTTTATGTACTTGTAGATTTGATATGATCTTAGATACTATTCGCTTTTTCTGAAGATATATGTAATATACAAAATAGGACTGGTCGAAAATTTAAATATAGAGTTTGCATAAGTAAAATACAGAGGACATATCACTAGGTGAAGGAAAAGAAGCAAAATAGTTAGATAAGTTGAATTGTTCTACGGTAGGAATGTGATTTGATTTAGTTGAATTGTCTAATGAATAAAAAGCTGGATATATATATGGACCATAGGATGTAGAATACATTTTCGAACTTCGTTGTTTATCTGTTGTAATCTGACTACTATTCCTAATTGATGGAGAATGTTTCATATAGAATTCTAATAAAATAGAGTTCAATGAAAACGATTGACAAGGAGTTTGAACAGGTGGTATATAATTTGTAGTATGATCACATGTCGTCGGATGATCGTTTGACAGACAAATGCAAGCAGTTTGTTCTTTTCCCACAAGACCAGAATGAGCTTGATCGTCGGGAAGGGAAGTAATAACTATATCAAATGGTTTGACAATCTTATCAACTACGTGGAACCAATACTTAACATTACCCAGTGTCCAAAATATAACGCCATCATTATGATTACCATAGTTATTGATGTCATCGTTACGTTGTAATGATAATTCTCCAAAACCATGAGAAGTAGGAGTGGGTAAATGACGTCGACCAGATAGACTGGGAGCAAGAATTCTCTTAATTGTCAGTTGATTCAAAGGATATAAAGCAGTTGAATCCTTGAACGGAGGTAGTAACTTAAAAAAATAAGACTATAATTATTCAAAGATACCAGCGTACATAAAAACCGCATATAAAGAAATACAATACCATCAATTTGCTTAACTATAAAATCAATATATAAATTAATAATTATGACCTGGTGAAAGAAAACTCAAGTCATATTTACAACTGTATGAATATTAGGTTATTAAGATTTACAACAAAAAGAAAAGACGAAAATACTATAATAATATCAAACGATAACCCTTTCAAAGTCAAACAAACTAGAGGTCAGTGACAGGTAGTAAACTTTAGTATTAATTTCACTTCATCACAGTTTAGAGACAGTTTACAATAAATAACCTGAGAACAAAAATCATTGTTAATAATAATTCCAACCATGTAGAAAAACCGATTCTATAGTGCAATATGAAAACCTTAAATTTTGAGTGCAAAATAACTAAACAGAAGACATCACAATAGCAAGCGATCTGTAGGAAAAAAAACTTTTATTCGATAAGCAATGTTTCATAATAAAATAAAATCAGCTGGAAGGTCAATAAAAGCAACCATTTGAATTAGACGGTTCTAGTTTAATTTTAATTTGACCTTAAATGTCATGCAGAATTAAGTCTGATGACATTTATTTCTCCCAATGAATACGATAACTATGGACCACTGGGTCAATATAAAATGGTTGACATTGTCAACGCCGGACAAAACTTTTAATAAAAAACGATCTTACTCTGAAATAATACTAAATTACTTGAAATAGAAGCTTAAAAGCGCTCTGCATGAAAACTGAAGAATGTTTGAGGAATTATTAAATCAAAGATATTATAACCGATTATTACTACTATTACACCATCTGGGTTCAAAATCAGCATCATTTAGAAGATAAAACATGATTTTTTGTTACACATATTGATAATCCCTATTTCTTGCTGTTGTATACATTTTGGTACGAATGCGAATCAGTTTACAATTGTGGCGTAGACCACAAAAACATAATATGAAACAACAATGATATAAAATACTATGTGTAACATCCATTCATGCATCTTTGTTTTTGTACAGGGGAAAAAGTTTTGGATATTAATAGTTAAATTGATATACTGTTTAAAACGGAAACAGAAATGATATTAGTAAAGAAGACAATCCCAACATTCTTAAGCATCGAAGGCATAGACATCAAAATAACAATGATAGAACCTTTTAAAATGTTTGAAAATATAATCGTTAAGAAGTCTAAATTCTTCAAAAAGGTATCAATTGACACATTATCTGACAGACAATACTTTGGAAATTACTCTTTTTTAAACATATTTTCTTATCTGAATAGAAACTATGGTTATAAACGGGTTGATATTAATCGTGACAGAAAAAAAGGAAACACTTATATTAATTTATTTGAGCTGTGTTAATGAAACATTTGTCATATAACAGCAATAGGCAAGTATTTTTTCATAGAAAAAAATTGATTTTATACAAGTGAACTATCAATTTTTAAGCCGTATAGCAAGGTAAGAAAAAATCGCATCTAAAAGTGAGGTAAAGGATTTTATCTGAGCCAATAATTTTAAAACAAGTATGTCTAATTATTTTAAAGACTATGGTTGTCTTCAAGAGCTCAAAAATGGTAGATATACCATATTAGCTGACGAAAAGCAGAAAAAAGTTTTCGGTAGAGTTGTGTCCCCTGAACTGAGTAAAGCTTTCATCGTAACTGTAAATAACTTCACCAGTTAAAATTTCAGATATTAGTGAACTATTTGAATGTCTCCACGTACAACTAACATCTTTTTTTGTCAACTTTGAATCTGATTAGTTACCGTTAATACATGCCCTGCTATTCTCAGCAAACTCACTTTTATTTTCTTTCTTTTCGACCTGGTTGTTGACCTAAGTGTTGCTGATTATTCCTCTAACTGGTTCTTAAAAATATATCACCGTCGATGTTTATTAATAACTGATTACTGACCCAAGCGTCAAGCTCCTAAAAATTCCTTGATCTTCTTTGTATTCTTTGTGTCCACGATTAAGGAGTTTTTCCAGTCGAATGTGTCCGCAGTTATTTCCATGTACCGAAACTTTGTAGTATATTACAGCAATACAGTGTTCGTATCGGCGTTAACAAGAAGAGGGTGGCCACTTAGATTCATATAATGCTTTTCAATATTGGGGTAATTTAATTTTTAGATTATGTCAAACTTTATTGTTTTGGTATTTCATCTTTTGGTCTGGATAGGATTAACCAAAATATCGAAACTGATCAAATCTATTAACCAGTCAGAGAAATGATAAACAACAATTAGGTCAAGAAACAGAGAATAACAGGACAAGTGTTAACAATAACCAGTCGAATTCAAGGTCTACAGAACAAGATTTTAGTATTATATAGAGAAATTCGAATAGCCCACTAATATCTGAAGTGCTGTTGTTATCTAGAAAAACGATGAAAGTTTCACGAATAAACTACTCAGTTCAGAAAACACAGCTCCACAAAAATCATTCTCCAAAGCTACAAATTTCACAATCATCTCACAGAAAAAATTATCCGTGGCTCTTAGAATAATCAAGTATTTAGTGAACTTTAATGATAAAAGATCAACAAATACCTAGAAAGACTGAACGGTGTTATCAGGTCATGTATAGATTATTAAAAGTCATTTCATACATTGTGGATACAACATAAGATGCAATTTTCAAAGAAATTATCATTTGAAGATCATTAGCAAACCATATCATTATTAACGAAAGAATCGATGCTCCATGATAGAATTGGGACTCACACTATACCACGCCACACTCACAGACCTTACTATTGATAGTCATACTGATTGACTACTGAGAAGTAACCAATATCATGTTATCTGGAGCCGATCGAGTGGTATCAATCAAGGTGCAACGTGACGCACTAATGACCACTTGCATTTATTTGAAATATAAACCGTCTTTAAGTTTAACATCTAAACATATTCAAAAAAATGCCCATCCTAACAATACATGTATACGGCATATTTGCGTCATGAAATCAATATTAGATTATAAAATTTGCCCTTCGTAATACATGTAACTCAATGGATAGTACTCATAAATATGTATTAAGCTATCGGATCGGACAGCAATATTCAGCTACCAGGCATGATCTCAATTTTTATCTTTGTTCTGTAGTATGTATATTCCTTCCTATTGCTTTGCTTTTCAAAGATAAATTTTTTTAAACACAATTATAAACTTGTCACGAGACTGCACTGACTTACTAACTAATTCAAAATGATTGGAAGACCTAAATTACGATAATTAATGGAAAGATTTTACTTACTAACCAAGCAGAAGTTCGTATAATTAACTTTGAGCTGTATCTCTTGCGTAACGGCTGATGATACTATTTGATTGCTCAAACAGAAATAAGTAGGGGAGGCGCACGACGAGACTTGGTGGCTGGAATTTAAATAGTGACAATGAATCATGTAGGCATGTAATAACACGCATTATTACAGGACCCTCTAGAGATTTCACTTTAAAACGAACGCCTAACATGCTTGGTATAACGAATTAATTCAATAATAGTAGAAAAAACATTCATATGAGTAGAATGATACGTATAATATGACTCTCAACGTTGAATTAAGTTAAGTACAATGTTTCGCTGCTAGATGCCAAAATGAGAAACGGATACTAAGTGTTTAGTTGGCTAAACAGTGACATGGATTTATTCTTAAATGAAGTAAGGCAGATGGTTTTCCAAATTTAACTGGGCGACCATTTAAGTGAGAAACGAAAACCAGTGTTTGGTAATTTTTCAACGAGTTAAAAAAGCAAAACTCTGAAAATAGTAATTGACCACCGAATCTTATTACATAACGTATTGTCGTAACAGTGACAACATATACGACTAGAAACTAAAACACTAATACCGGACAAGAATGTAACCACTACTCAATGTTACCTAACTGCATGATGAACAGTTAAATTAAACTCTTGAACAGCTCCATAAACTGACTGACTTTATTCACCTGGTACACCACAATTACTACAATTTCAGGTTCTAGTGTTTAAGCTGGGTCAGACAAAATACAACAAAACAGTAACTCAATATCCCAATAAGTGCTGTGTTTATAAGAAAAACCACCGCAAAAAAGCAGTAGTAAAATACATGTAGTTATATAACCAACCTGCGTGAGTTTTATGGCATTAATTTTACCGGAATCAGACAAATAGAAAGTAGCTCGAAAATTACGCCACCTAAATAAATGAAACACAGGAAAAGACTATTAGTGGATTTGTACAATATTAACATACGAAATGTATTCGAAATGGGAATTGGAGATAAACGAAAAATCAGTACAGAGACAATGTTTTTATTATAAGAATATAGATAAAGATCGATTGAAAAACAAAGGTAAATAAGATAGAAGATTGGTTTTAGCCTAAAACTTTACTATCGACACATGTTTCGGGTCTTAGAGTGGTAACTTAGTGTTTAAGGTATTTAGTTTTCAAATAAAGAAATCTCAGGTTTGAATTCAAGACCACCTACTTCGATATAGATGATCAACAAGTAGTACTAGACTTCAAATTAACAACGTGGGTCAAAGCTGAGTACATGAACCCGTTCTTGCCAAATGGGTTACGGCATCATCACCCTACCGTAAGAGAAGATGGACAAAGTGACTTAAAAATCATAGAGCTTATCATCCGTAATGACTGTTTATAAGCTAAGATAATGACAAAGCATTTAAAAACAGTGTATAACAAAATTCAGGTAGAAATAACTTGAAAATTGTAAGCATACATTCAAGTTGAAAAATGTGGATACAAAGCATACAGAGTTAAATTACCTATCCAAATTCAGCTAGTGCTATTATTTTACGGTCGACGTACATTTGAGGAAAAACACACTTGATGAACATCATTCGTTTGTGATGTCATTTTATCTAATGTATTTTGTGATTACTTTGATTGAGACCCATTAACCATGAATCCACCATTTTACCATTTAGAATATTAACAAAGAAAATAATTAAAAAACGTGTACTATTTATTAGGATACGTTGCGCTCAAATATTTCCAAACCTATCGCATTTCCGAACGGACAGTTCATATGAACGCATAAATTACTAACCACTTCAGATAAACACTACTCCTTGTGTTGCATTTTAACTACGGATATCAACCAGAGAAAAAGCAGTTTACAGAATTTCGAACTGTTTAGTGTAATATTTTGAAAGGCTAACAAAAATATGTACTGTTTGGTTGAAACATGAGTAAAAATTAGCCTAATTTAAGGTTATTTTTCATTATCAGCTAGAAAATCATTAAAAGCCGAGGAGCATTGCAAACAATTTTTTCAACTTAGTACCCCAGTAACCACGATACATCTAGACCATTACGTTTTATCCAGTGATTCGTATCTTCAACACTAATACCAATGGTGGATAACTGCTACCATTATTGACATTGTTGAGATCTATCAGTTGTGACTTCTCACCTGAACCGCGAGAATAGATTTCGAAGCCAGGCGCCAATGAATTATCTGGTGCTCGTTGATGTCTAGTGATTTCTTAACAGATATCAATGAAAACATGAATAAAAGTATATTTAAGAAAATATCTACGTTTAACAGTTATAGATTAACTTACTGAGCTCGTTGTTCTAATCTTTCTAATAATTTATCTGAAGGTAAATGAGATTCTCTTTTGGATGGTGAAGGTAACAGAACGATTCGAAAACAAACTTCGACTTCCCACCTTTCTGTATCAGATAAAATACTAGTCAATTCTAGTCGACGACCATATGAACGCATAGAAAAATAGGCCCGACTAGCCACTACTAAAGCACGAATCCAGGACTCACCTCTAAGGTGAATAAGGAAAGAAAAAACAGAGAGATTTTTAAAAATATTTCTTTGGAGGCGTATAAGTCTTTGGTATCTTATCTTGGCAGAAATAGAAATCACTACTAGTATCTCCGATAGTCATCCAAATAAATAAACCGCTAAGGTTAACAAAATCTATATTTCGATGTACGCTTTATCACAATTAATGTTTTTGCTAGCATTACTGTGAGTCGTAATTCCGTCTGGAATTGATGACCAAAATAACTAAGCAGCGAGACTATGATTCGGACGATGATAAAGATCAGAAATATTATTCAACTTGTTGAGTGTCCCAGACAGAAGACACTGAATTTTCAATGTTCTGCCAAGTAAATGAAACAAGATAGTATTTTAGTAGACTAAAATCTGAATCTTCATGTATCCCTACAACCAGAAAAATATAGACAAATTTAGGTTAAAAATGAGATATATTTTTATTTTTATTTTAGCGTTACAAGCTACTGATATAGATATAAATAATCGATTTCCCCCAAATGCTTTGATGTGGAAGGATCGGATTTTCTCCCGAATAAACTACATGCTTTGATATGGGAATCCAGTAAGCACCCCAGACCACAAACATTTGTTTAGATAGCTACGAAAAAATATTCTGCTCGTTAAGCCTCACTAACTACTTAGATGATAATTGACGATACATTATTACATTTCACTATATGTCTTTCCCCTTTTATTTTCAATGTGTTTACTTTTATTTTTCTCCGACCTACTTGCCAGCTCGTTCCCGTTTTCAGTTCATATCTATCGAAACAGTTTCAATTTTCTAAATGGTCACCAATAAAGTCTCTGATATAGCTTTTCTAAAGCCACGCGTGCACTTTGATACAGATCGGGCAGCAGATAGGTTTGGCTATATTCGGAGTCTTGACATAGATGTATGCTGTATATGTGAAACTATATGCACAACTCTAAAGAAGTGATACAAATTCGTTCCGTATCTGGCCATCCAAAAAGTTTATTCCTCGTGAGTTTATTCGGTAACCCCGTGGCATGAGCACCCACTTTCGTTGACATTTATGTCGCACTAAGCGTCATAGCAGATGAAGCGTTAACTGGTTACGCCTTCATTCGAAATATTTTATTTTATTTAAGATAAATACTGGTATAAGGAGATACCATTATAAATATCCGCCACATATAAGAGAATGGTACTGTGAAGAAGTATGAGGAGGGGGAGTATAATCAACATAAATAAGTGGATGAAAACCGAGTGGATGATAGTAGTTTAATAGAGGAGAAACTGTTATATCCCGACGAGAATAGTGAATGGACTAACACTATACACATATTTTTATTATATAATGGTCAAGTAACTAAATTATTTATTTTCATATTCCCCTTATTATGAACTTTATTTTGACCTATAAACCATTATTATACGATTTACCAGTTTATTAATTAAAGTCTTGCATAATCACAGCCACTTTTGGGTAGATCTTATACAAATGTTATTTTCTATTTTATGGTACGATGTGGTCTGTTTGGTTGGGATATAAACCAAGTATGTTTGAAATATATGATTCATATTGCAGAGGCTGAGATTTGTGTTCTGAACTCGAAAGGCAGGGCTAGACAAGAAGTGCGGATACGGACTTTATACTACTCGTACGGGTTTATGTGTCATTGGCCCGGTCGATAAGTCACCGTTCTCTAATTGGAGGTATCATCACGTTATATATTAATAGGACACACGGCCACAAGTTATAACAGAAATAAATAGGTCAAAAAATTCAACCGGAAAAACGTTTTCCAGTCAAAGTTCTCACTTTTATGAAGAGTGTTAAGGAAAACTATAGCATGACCGTCACTGACTTTTATTGTGAGTCGTGTCTTTTAACGTTCAAGCAACTGAGTTGAAGCATCCCAATATGATGAATATTAGTGAATAATCATTTACATACTGTTGGACTAGAAGGCTTAATTAAATCAAGAACTTGCCTGCACGGTGATGGTTCGGAGTAGCAGATGGAACTTAATACCGATCAAATAGCCTTTTTAATAAAGTGCTTTTAACAGATACATTGGGGTTAGCTGGGAACGTAAATACGCAGGGTAAGGATCAGGGCACAGAGAAGTCACAATGGCCAATGGGGACCAAATTTTCGTAGGTCGGATAACAGTAGCCGCCTTTTGCAGCTTGTGTGGATCACAACCAAATTTCAGCACAGTGTCAATATCTAACCAATCGTCCATCATATTAGTTTAATCGTAGTTTGGTCCGCGGTCAGGAGCATTAATGATAACTTCGTTTATGTCACCAACAACGACGTTGGCAGCTTTTTCATGCTATATAAATGTCATACCATGGAATTCGACATGGTGCGTTAATTTTCAACGCCGGGATTGCGTGGCGAAGGCAAAGGGGTTGTCAATTGATAACTTAGCACTATGGTATCGAAGATAGGTGAAAAGAACTGGCATTTGCGGGCTCACCACAACTCCTTGAGTGAGATCCCAGAGATTGCGCAACTCAACAGGTTGAGACAGCTGTAGGTGTAGTTCATAATAAAAGTCAGTGGCTATCCTACTGTCGTTTATCACATTTTCCACACAAGTGAAATGAAGTCTCTTGCTTAACAGGGATCTTTCTAGGGTGCATTTTGAGTAAACTGTAGTCCTCGTCATACCATATTTGTCTATTTATTGATTGACCGTATGACTTTTCTCCTTTGTTTTTAAAAAACACCATCATTTTACTTGTGTGACGCATTTTTGGGTCAGTAACATGTCAGAATTTATGTAAGATAGAATGCTAGTAATAACTAGAAAAATGACGATGAAATTCGTTTGAACACCTGTTAAGTGAACCCTTTCACAGTTTCGATGTCAAGATATCAAAAATTTCTTAATAATCTGATCATAGCGATAGATCGTTCTATGTGATGCCTATATGGATTGACTGTTTTCTTTAAAACCGTAATGATATTTGATAAGAAAACTCAAGGCTTCTCTGGAAGAACAATGAATGAAGACAGTTTGTAATTGAGTGAATGAACGACAGATATTGAGATTTGGGTTAGATACTAATGAAAAGAACACCAGATAATTAAGCACAACTAATTCACTTAAAGTATTTACGGACAACGACATCAGTCATCGGATTTTGATTGAAAGTGAAAATGTCATGATAAAGTTTTAGGAGATAAGAAAAGAACATTTTTAAGAATCGCAAATTAATTCATCGAGACGTCAAGTCAGCTGAAACAATGCAACTGAGGCATATGATTAAATCGTTTGTGGGGTGAATCGATTAATCTGGAGATTCCTTTTATCATGAACTTACATTTATAATGGGCATTAATAATCAGTTAAAAACAATATCGTAATGGCTGAATGAAGTCCTGTAGTTTTCATTTGAATGATGGCTTAAAGACTACAAAACTTTACTCTCAAATTACTGATTCGCAGGTTTTTGACATGCTCCACCGACTTTGATTCGGGTTACCATTTAGTATTACTAATAGTCATACGAAAATTATTACTCAGTGTCGAGTGCACAAATTTTTACCTAGTTACCACTTTATATTCTTATATCGGTAATGAACTGGAAGAAAATGAGAAAGAAGCTATAACAAAGTATGGCAGTATTCACAGCATCTACACTACAGCTAACGATTTCGAACTATATAGCTCTGAGTCACCGACTACTCACTATGGGTGTCTTGTAGACTGTGATTACAAAATTCACCAGTTGTATACAGCCAACAATTTGAATCTATCTGCTGCTGGAAACCCCATTGACTTTCAAGGGTTTTGTTACATACAACAGATACTTTTGAGACATCGCTGATAAAAAAACTATAGGTAACAAGCTAGGTATACTTCGTAACGTTTTATACAAATAACGAATTGATACAATGTATGCTTTCTCCAGGTATAGGAAAATGACTAGAAGAGAAGTTGTATACTTACCTCAATCTGCAGACGGAACCATTTCTTTTTTCATAATAAACAACAGTATCAGAATCTAGCAAATTTTTCGGTAATTCATTAAAAAGGGTTTTTCAAAGAACAGTGGTAGCTCATCTTCAATATCTTGATTAATTTTCAATAGCCTGTTCATTTTCGCCTCATTAGGTAATTTATTGAATGACTGATTATCTTGATCACTGAATAAAAGGATCAAATCTGCCAAAGTAGGATGAGTGATCTTTTTTTGTTTGTCTTTATTTTCAAATAAAGTTGGGCAAGTATGCTTATCTGGAGACTTAAAACTATGATATAAAATTCCAGAAGATAAACTAAGATATAAAGGATATCTTAGTTTTTGCAGTAAGTTTAACTCTTTCGGTACATTTTGTGACTTGCACCGGAAAGGAACTAACAAACGAAACATAGTCTGACTAGCTTCTGTAACAAAAGAGAAAATCATTCGGACGAATAAAATACATAAATAATGGGTCGCCTGAATTTACATCGACATAAATTAAACAAGTCCAGTCGATTCACTACATATATGATACGTGAAGAAACAGAAAAATAAATACAGGACCTAGAACGAAAATGTTGGTCTACTCAGAGCTTAAAATTTAAAGACGGTTGTATATAATACTTCATGAAAACTGAGTTACAAACTTCGAACTCACATGAATTACTCATTTGAATAGTCTGACAACCCTTAGGACTATGTTGTTTAAAAACAAATATAAAAGTGTGTCCTTATATACTTACATATTACACCCCTATCTATCTGAAATCTTTGTCTTTTATCCAATCAACATGGTTCCTTGAAATAAAAAAGCGTTCAGATAACTAAAAATACAACCACGTTAGTACGTATAGAATCGATACTAAGCTTGCAAGTAACAAACTGTTCTGACACCAAACATTCTAAAGAATAACTTCTCAAGTAGTCTTCTAGGTACCTAATCCTTATTTACTGTAGTTCTGAAGGGAGAAATTAACAAACAGCAGTTCATTAAACCGTCATATGGTAAATAAATACAATGATTAATAATTGTCCTACAGATAAGGTCAACTGATATCTAAAATAGAATAAGCTCAATTAATGGTGAATTCTGAAAAACTTGAGTAAACTACAGAATCAACTTGAAAAGCACACAAACCCAAAGTAGAAATATGTGCATAAGTCTATGGCTTCAGGTGGTGTGAATAGTGAACTTGGTTTTATGCAAAAGTTTAGACTAGAACGGACTGAAATACACAAGCTAAAACATTTCCTCGCAAGTAAAGAGCCAAACAATCTTTTATATACGTATGAATGCACATCTTACAAATACCTAGCACCAAAAGCTGATGTATTTTGGCGAATGTGGTGACCATTCGGGTAATTATTGAAAGCCATACACAAAGATAAATCACTAATTAAGCCAACTAGAAATAAAACAATACAATTCTATACCTTTTAATAATAGTAACATTATTTTAATCTTATACAATTATATGTACATTTTATGAACAGTTCTGTTCTTCACCCAGATGATATTCTACTCACTATATCATATCACAAATCTAAAACATTCGAATCCAAGGTTGTACTTCACTAATAAGAGATTTGAATAAAGTTTCTCTCAGCTTGTTTATTACCTAGTTACACCCAAGTGGATATATAGACAGGTCATGAAATATATAAGTATACAACTTTACAATTAATACTAAGACGTGAATTAAACAGAAAAAAATAAAAGTAATACCACCTATGTGGTGGAGAATCAATAGAGAAAAAAATGAAACACAAAATAAACTCATTATAATCACTTAGTAAACCTAGCTCTCGCTTGACTCCAGAATAATCAGTTTTGCCTTGAAAGGCGCTTATTCTACGGAATCATACTGTTTCCTCAAAATAGCATCTATTTGAGAATGGACTGAAGGCATGTGAATAGGGAGGGAAAGACTTAAACCATGAAGCAAACTGTTATGTTGTATTTGAATTAAACATAACAGCCAAACCAGGCATATTTAAAAAAACACGTAGATATGGAACAGAAAATATTAATATTAACCAAACATGAAGATTAAAATTGGTATATTGACAGTACCACACAAACAAACTGATATATCAGTTTGAAGTATACTTCAAAATCCAGTAATATATGACCGAATTCTAGCCACTTTATTCTGCATAAAACAGTCACACTTTAGGAGTGACATACTTTGGAAAACTATCCGTGTTAAGATAATTTGAAAAATTTACTACATATGTTTTGTGATTGCTGTACCTGCGGAATTCCATTCCTCAATCAATGACACGATATACTTCATGATATAAAGTCGATTTGAATACTCATGACCTTTCTTATTTGATCATTCTTAAATAATCGGTACTTATTTAAAAACATAATAAACTTAGATTTACATCACATACTTTGCTGCAGCGTAAGCAACAATTACAGCGCCTTCCGAAACACAATACCTTTATGGAAAATAGTATAGATCGGCTTTGACTCTGTGTCCGCTTCCTAATATTACGGTAAGGTTCTTACCTCTACAACAGCAGGTTTACAACTGATCTAAACACTATATTTTCAATAATTTATCTTTGAATTCTAATAATGTATTCATTGATCTTTTTACCAGGTTGTGCTGGCAAATAAATCCCTAAAGTAAAAAGTCCTATAATTCTTCGACATTGGTTCTGGACTCGTTGGTTTGAACAGAAAGACTTGGCTAGAGACTCTCACTCACGCATTCGCATCAGATCACGAGCGCGTACTGTGTGCTACACCTCCCATCTAACTACTATCTGGGTTAAATCAAACGCTTCTCAATATATCAGCAATTTATTCATCATCGACTTTTGATTTGGCTGGGTCAATAGTCTTCGATTATAGAGATGTTATGGACAAAAGTGCTGTCAAACCCTGAATATCTGTGGCATATTTAGTGGTGAGTCCGACGTGACATTGTACATCAATCGATGAACTATGGGCCTGTTCATCGTTATAACGCTACTTATTACATTTTATTTTCCCACATATCAATATCATTTTCATTTTCTCAGATTTTTCATCCGAATACTTGTAGACTTTATCCTCAATATGACAAAACATTCACTCAAACTGATAAAGACTAAAACGCCTACGCCCCTCAACTTTCAACTCGTACTATTCTCACCTGATAATATCGAAGTCTGATTCTGCTACGCGAAAGATGGCTTCCACAAGCACGGAGTGGTGGACTCACGTGCTCAGTCCATTGCAGTGGAGAGGCAATTATTCACGATTTTAACAGGAAAATTACACCTAGTATGTTTAGTAGTGATGTTTCTGAAATTTATGGTACCTTGAAAGAAGCCATACTTAAACGAAAAGACCTGAATGATCGGCAAAGGTTAAACCAGACCCTCCATAACACTGAACTGAAACATGGCTCAGCGACGAAAATGTTGTTACGTGTTCGGGAGGTCAGTCGTAGATTAACATTTGACGGGGGCCATTTTAGACAAGAATACTAAAGTGTCTGTTTATAAAACTCCATTTCCTAGTTGTAGGTTATACTCAGTCACAGCTAAACGTATAATTGATGTGTACTTCAGATAGACACTCTCCAAGTCTACCAAACTTTGCAAAACGCGACCAAAATTACCATGCGTAACCAGACTTGTTGCAAACCACTTTATGACTGCAGGACCATATGTGTTCTAGAAAGCACGCCGACTAAATCTTCAAAGGCTGAGGTTGGCTAAAAGCGAATTCGAGTGCATGATAGACCTTAAATTTGTTCGGCCGTCAAACAGCCGATAGGCACCTCCTCCGCACACAATATCTAAAACGGACGGCAACAATTGGCGGCCAAATGGTGATCATCGGCGACTGAATATGAAAATCACTCACTATCGTCACTCTCTGCCACACATCCACTGCCTGACAGCTATCTTGGAAGGTAAAACCGTTTGCTCGAAAATCGATCTTATTGAAGTATGTTACCGAATTCCTGTGGCTGCATACCACACTTTCAAGACCTCTGTCATCTAACCCTTCAACATTTACAAAGTTTTTCGCATGCCTTTCGGTTTAAGAAATGCTGCACAAAATTTTCAGTGATCCGTTAACGACGAATTCAGGGGTTTCAACTTCGTGCGTGCCTACGTTGATGAGTGCGTAACAACTTGAATTGATTGGTTAGAAACCAACTGCAAACATCTTAGTAGTGTAAAAACATTGTAGTTCAAGAACCCATTCACCTCCGCATTTTCTATTGGCATTGTATTTGGTATTATTTTGTATTGAAGGCTGAAGATCTTTGTGTTAAAAAACAAACTTGAGCTTTAACCGTCCTGTTCCACAACCAAAAAGACCTATTCACTACTTGTCCGTTTCTTCTATCGATAAAACGATGAGTACTCGCCAGCACAAAATATGTTTTACAGCAAGTCCTGACAGAGAATCTCGTCTACAGCATCTCGACTTTGTTATCAAGTTGGTAATCACGAATGACTATCTGGAATTTATCAAACTCACGACTGATACTCAAGGTGTTCTTCCTCTGAGAACCAAGGTGACGGCCATTCTGGAATACTCAGAACTGATCACAGCAAGTAATTAAAGACGATCAACGGCCTGGTAAATTTTCGTCAATGGTTCATACCGGATAGCACTTCTCTAACGAAACCCTTAACAAACCAAGTTCATGGAAATGAGAAAGTCATCAATTAAAATGACAACGCAATAAAAGCGGTGTGACGGTTAAGGAAGTAATCACCACACCAACTGCTCTCGCTTTCCAGGACATCGTACACATCTATAAGTAACTCTGTAAACGCATCCGACTCGACAGTCAAAGGGGTTTCAAACAGTGGACAAACAACACCAGATAACCTTCGGAATTCTTTACGAAACGGTTGCAAGACATTGAATCGAAGTATACAATTTTTGTCAGAGAACTCTCATCTATGTATCACACTGTACAGCACTCTCAATACAATTAAAGGGCGAGAATTCACTATGTTTACCGACGATAAACCTATCACTTTCTCTAGTAGTTTGTCTTTAGACAAGCACTCCGTTGGAGACCTTTGACAACTAGATTACATTTCGTAGTTTACTTCAGATATACATTGTACGAAATATCTGACAGAAAGTGTTTGAACTACCATCCCGCTCATAACAATGATTTTTACTGCCTAATATGATTGAAGACGTGAGAGAGTAGCATACTCCTGTGTAATTTTCGGAAATCTCGAGTGTTTAGGCACAACGAGTGTCCATTAGGTTCTTTTGCAACCCATCACACTCGTTTCGATCATTCTTTGGCAGTACTCCCACGAGATCCAAGTGAATACTTTCACTTCCCAAAGTGCGTGACCGTTTCATATGATAGGGAGAAGAAATACCTATCAAGGATATTACTGCTGGAACAAACGCCCTCAATTTCGTCAAGTGACTACCACTACTACACAGACCGTGGACGCCAGTTTGAAGTTGGACTTTTCCGTTGTTTTGCTACACTAATAAGAACCATATGATCTGAACAATCGCCTACCACCCACCAAATAATGGTTTCATAGAACGATCTCACGACAGTCAAAAACTTCACTCTAAGCTACAAATGTACATCGTAGTCTGAGGCTCTTACACTCATGTTACTTCATATTTGCAATGCAATGAAGGCTGACGTTGGTTGCAACAAAGTACAACTCATTTACAGAATGACTCTTCGGCTTCCAGGCGAATTTGTTGATCCTTCATCATCTCCGCTAAATTTGGATCCACAATTCTACATGGGCGTTCTTACAAACAATATGCATTCAGTTAAACGTGTTTCTACTCGACCACAGTCAACTGACGTTCCGTCAAACTCGAACTACGATTGAGAGCATACGTTCAGGCAAACCGCTGCTCATTACGACGACCACTCGAAACGCAATACGAGAGACACTTCAAAGTTTATCACTTCAAACATCGTGATTATGCCATAGACAAGAATGGAACTAACGACAACATCAACACTGACAGTCTTAAAGCATTTAACTTAGAAGGAAACACCGGTTATGACGACTTTCCATCTGAATAATTGAACGACACCAGCCTCAAAACCGTGACCCCATCACTGGTAACCAATGACTACGACATAACCTCTCTGGCATTTGATAACTGGCCATGAACAACGCGCTCCGGATGAACTACACGGACTCGAGAACACTTAAACGACACCGCTTAAATTTTTATCTTATCTTATTTATGCGCACCAATATTATTTGGTTGTACTCTCGGCTTTTTAATACTAATTTGTCAAAGCAATTGTTTTTTCTCCGGTATTCTTTGCTGTAACTCCACCTGTAGCTCTTCTAGAGTTAATACCGGTCCCAAACCGGGTAGAGGAGGAGGGTTGGGCATGGAGTTAGCGACTTTAGCCCGTAGAAAACTAACTCGCTAAAAATGATTCAAACCATTTAAACTCTGTCCTGGGAGTTAGAAGG